TTTTTCATGCGCCAAAGTTGGCCATGAATCTATTATCTGTACATCAGTTAGTCAGAGATTTTCACTGTGCGGTTATGTTCTTATCTGATTCGTGTTATTTGTAGGACCTGAGTACTAGGAGGATTATTATCAGGGGATATGAGAGAGATAGACTGTATTATCTAGGCGATCAACCTTCAGTTTCATCAGTTCCTCCACCTATATCACCTACACCTGCTTTGTCCTTATCTGTTCCTAGCTTGTATGCTAGTATTTTACCTAGTAGTTATCGTTATGAGTTTTTTGTCACAAACTGCTCAGTTGTGGCATGACCGTTTTGAACATACAAATTTTAAATATTTATGTATGTAGTTTTCTGTTTTGAGCAATGCTTGTGTTAGTGGTAAACTTGACTGCTTTATATGTTCCCTATCGAAACATGTTAGAACCAGTTATATTCCTCGCATGCACCAGTCACCCAAGTCTTTTGATCTAATACACTCTGATATTTGGAGCCCCTCTTCTGTTACTGCTCTGTCAGGTGTTCCATACTATGTAACATTTATAGATGATCATACCCGTTGTACTTGGGTCTACCTTTTGCATAGAAAGTCTGATGTACTTCCTATAATCACTCAGTTTTTATAGATGATTTAGACACAATTCAATGTCATTGTTCATGCTCTTCGTTCGGCTAATGCCAAAGAATATGTGTCTGATGCCTTAATGTCTCACCTTTCTTCTCAGGGTATTCTCCAACAACTCACTTGTTCATATACTCCTGAGCAAAATGGTGTTGCTGAAATAAAAAATAGGAGTTTGATAGGAATGGTATATTATATGCTTATAGACATGGGTTACCAAAATCTTATTGGTATTTTACCGTTTTGACTTATACCTTTCTGTGCAATCGTACACCGAGTTATGTTCTTCAGCATAGGGCTCCCTTACAGGTCTTATTTTTTGAGCGGACACTTTTTGGTCCCCCCCTCATATTTTTGGATGCACATGTTTTGTTCAGGATCGGTCTCCTACTCGTTATAAGCTTGATGATAAAGTGATTCGTTGTGTCTTTATGGGCTATTTTCATCAGTCTAAAGGGTATCGGTGTTATGATCCTATTAGGCGTCGTATGTATCACAGTCTAGACGTTACATTTCTTGAGTATATTTCTTATTTCTCTTCCAGTCTTGTGTCTGCCCCTCCAGTTGATGATATTCCCTTTGATTTTTCATTAGCGTAGGAGCCAGAGCCATTGGTAATTATCATTACAGAGTCATCCGTCTCTCCTCCTCCATAGCCACTCATCCTTATCAGTACAGAGTCACTAGTTTCTCTTCCTTTGCAGGTTTATGTTCGTCGCCCTCGCTCTCATCCCCTTGCTGATGTCCCCTCTATCTCAGGCGATGCAGGTAATACTTCTCAGTTCATTGAGCATATTGATGCACCTGTTTTTAGGACTGATGAGATTTCAAGTACTGAGCCAGTTACTTTACCTGATGAGGCATTGTTAGTGGAGGATGATGATTTAGAACGTCGTTATCTGCGACGTGATTGTCATCCAGTTGTTCTTTATGGTTGGATTGCCAGGATTGTATATCCCATCTTTGCTTATATGTCTTATGGTGCTTTGTCTCCTACATTTCGAGCTTATAGTATGGTCTTATCAGATACGCCAATTTCTCGCTCTGTTTCAGAGATTATGAGGGAGTCCCAGTGGGTTCTTGCCATGCAGACGGAGATGGATGCTCTTCAGCGTAATCATACGTTGGATCTTGTCTTTTTATCTTTAGGGGTGAAGCTTGTTGGCTGTCATTGGGTTTACACCCTGAAGTTTCTTGTGAATGGTACTATTGGTCATCACAAGGCTAGGCTTGTGGCGAAGGGCTTTACTCAGGTACCAGGTTGAGATTTTGGTGCTACTTTTGCCCTGGAGGCAAAATTGACTACTGTTCGATTGATTATTTCTCTAATTGCGGAGTATTTTTGGCTTCTTCAACTGTTGGATGTGAAGAATGCATTTCTTCATGGTGATCTGGATGAGATTATTTATATGGATGCACCACTAGCCTTTCGTGGTGAGGGAGAGTATGCTGGAAAGGTATGTCAACTGCATAAGTCTCTTTATGGACTGAAACAGTTACCACAAGCCTGGTTCTTTCGCTTTAATGATGTAGTTGTACGTTTAGGGTTCACCAAATGTCATTCTGATCATATCTGCTTCATTCGACGAAATACTTCTGGACAGTATGTCATCCTTTTGGTATATGTTAATGATATTATTATTACCAGAGATGATGTTTCTGGGACTGCACAGGTCAAGGTAAACCTTAGGAAGGCCTTTGATGTGAAGGACTTTGAATTTTTACGATATTTTCTTTGGATTGAGGTTGCCCATAGTAACATGTGTATTGTTCTTTCTCAGAGAAAGTATGTTCTGGATCTTCTCTTAGACACTGGGATGCTGGGGTGCAAATCGGCATCATCATCCATGGTTGCAAACCTGAAGCTTACTGCTGAAGGTGAGGAGTTGAGAGATCCGACTATCTATCAAAGGTTGGTAGGTAGACTTATTTACCTAGCTAACACTAGGCCAAACATTTCATTCATTGTCAGCCGAGTTAGTCAATTCATGCACCGACCATGTCAGCCTCATCTTAATGCAGTTTATCATATTCTTCGATACATTAAGTCTTGTCCTGGACTTGGGCTGTTTTATGCATCAGGATCTTATACTGATTTTCTAACCTGTTATTCAGATTCAGATTATGGGGGAGCGTGTGACAGGTCGATCTACTACGGACTTCTGTGTTTTTCGAGGGACTCATCTTATTTCTTGGAAGAACAAGAAGCAGGTAGTTATCTCCCGCTCGTCAGTAGAGACAGAGTATCGGGCACTGACACTTAGCACATGTGAGATTATCTGGCTACGATCGATTCTTGGCGAGTTGGAATTTTCAGTGACTTCTTCATCTACATTACATTGTGATACTTCTGACTCTGTATTACATGAGAGGACGAAGCATATAGAGATCGATGTTCACTTTTTTCGGAAAAAAGTTAGTAGTGGTATTGTTACTGCATCGTTTGTGAAAAATAGTGATCAGGTTGCGGATGTTTTCACAAAACTTGTCACTCTATCCATTCTCCGGAACTCCGTTGTCAAACTTGACTTAGTTGATATTTTTGCGCCTAACTTGAAGGAGAGTGTTGGAGATATAAGCTTAGTTTATTAGGGTTTATTATAATTTTTCTTTTTACCTTTTTATCCTTATTGTAGTTTTCATTGGCTATATATACGGGAGCTCTACACTTAATTTGTATCCCTTTTAACTCACACATATTTCTCTAGTGTTTCTAGTACATTTTGCAATTTATTATTGCTCTGGGACTTGCTATTCTTTGTTGCTCAATACTAGTGGTTATTCAAAAACCAATAATCACCCTTATCATGAAATGAACTTTTTTGTCATAACGTGATCATAATCTGTTTATTACTTGTTTCTGCATGTTAATAATCAAGGTTTCTATGAATTCACAGACAAAATCGTATCTAGAATTCCTGAATTTAATAAGCCGGCTTTTTGGGCTCGGACAGAATCTGGAATCTTCCGAGCGGTCTTTAAAGCAAATCCTAGTTTTGATGAAGCCCCATGGCCTTTTTTTTCAGCCCATTCGGTAGACTTCGTAAAGAGACAGCTGAACAAGGATTACCACAAGAGATTAACTGCTGCTCAGGCTCTTAGTAAGTTATTCAGACAATCTGAATTATTAGATTTCTGTTTTGCAACTGGACCAAGATCTTTTTGTATATAGGGATGGACAATTCTTTCTTCGTTCCAAATTTTGTCTCGGCCCTTATGAAACCATGTTGAAAAGTTACTTTGATGTGAATAAATTTGAATGACATACCATTGCTTTCTTCCTGAGATGGATAAGAATACTAGGAACAATTATTGCAATTCCTAGGGCGTTGTGATCCTTATTTAATCAGCTAGATTATTATTCTGGGGTTCTAATATCTTCTCTTGAATTTTCTTCTTTAGGTCATCCATGGCTGGCCGGTTATCATGATGTCAAGTTACCCTTGGATATCATAACAAACAAGCTTGTAAAAGCCTATATATGTTCTTCTTCTCTCAGGAAAGCATCTCTTGGGGTATGTAGTTCTGCCTTTGAACAACTGCTACTATCGCTTATAATTTTGTCCAGAGAATGTACAAAATTTGGAATTTAAAAACTCCAGACAACAAAAATAAACATAAGGCCAATTTTCTCTAAGCAACCTGAGAGAACATAAACAAGAAATTTTGATTTTTTCCTATCTTGAGATGAAAAGAACTCGCTTATGGACATCTAAGGCTAATGCATTTAAGTATTAGGATGCTTGAGCATAGGAGCAGTAAGTATATTGTGTTCGCTCTGCTTCTATGGCAGGCTCTTGCAAAGACATTGGCAATACCTCAGCTGGCTTATCTCCGAGAACAATTTACATTGCTAGGCCCAAACAAAAGCGGATTCATATTTCTACACAACTTTAAAACGGTAAGCTCTTCTTGTTTTTCTTTTGCCATTTTTTTACGAGCTGTTTGTCAACTCCACTCCCAGTTATCCTAAATGTCAAAATACGGCAGGCTGTGGCAAAGAACTGCACTGATGCCATGAAGGACTCAAGGGTTCAAGATTATGCCAGCATGGTGACATCCCGTTTCCTTATATTTTCTTGTTTTTCTTTCTTTCTTCTTCTGCCTCTTCCTCGTCTTCTTTATTAGTTAGAATAAACGGACCTTATTAATAAATATTACTGCATAGCAAATTAAAAATTGAGACTCTTGGCTGAATGCATATTCATGTGTCTTGCAGGTAAGTTCACTTCAATATAGAAAACTAGATTTTGAAGAATATTGTGCTGCAGCAATAAGTGTGCATCAGCTGGAAGGAATGGAGACTGGAGAGTTGGGAGCAACATGCACGACGTGCCTATGAGCTTTTTGAGAAGGATGGAAATATACCTATTATGATAGAGGAACTTGCCTCAGTATGATCTCTCTCTCTCTCTGTGGATTTGCATAAGCAAGCATCCATGTGTTCTTGGGCACATCTGGTCCTCTCTTCTCTCCCTAGTGCATTGTTCTAGTATTTACGCATGTGATCCAATGAAGTGCCTATATAGCGATTTTAGGCCTGGAGCATAGTTCCTTGTGAACACTATAAATGGAGTACTGAACAAGAAGTGGTGCGGGATATGTTAATCATAACTGGTCCACTGAGAAATTTTCTGCACCAAAAATTGCCATGGACTATTTTGTTCCTCTGATCCAAATACCTTTGCTATTCCTTTGTGGCCAATTCAATCCATAACCTCTACATGCAAACCACATTTGCGAGAAGGATGATGACAACAGAGGTGCAAGTACTAGTTTAAAGGTTTTTAGGTCTACTGATCTCGCAGATTTCTTAAGACACTAGGGGATAAAAATTTGAGAAATTCATGATTTTCACTACCATATGACTCCATTCAATTTTTATATTTCCTATATTTGTTTTCCTCCACGTATGTGTCCACAACAATCAGGAAACTTTCTAAATAACTTGGGTCTTTCTTACCAGGAGCTTGGACTTAGCCTGTCAGTACGTGTTCATGTAGTCTTCCAAGACTGGATAAGGCACTCCGATGAAAAGCTTAATTTTTTGGGATTTGTCAGACTTTTGCATATGATTTCTTCTCGTGTGTTTTAGAAGGCTTAGTATGAAATCCAGCTACAGAAACTTTATCCGTAGAAATCTACCTCTCTTTCATTGAACTAAATTGTCTCATGGGGACAACAAGGCCACCTTTTTGAGGGAAATGCTAAAAAGGCAAAAAGCATATGTCATGTCTTAAGAGCAGCTCTAAGTTGAAACAATGAATAATGCGGCTTGAGTGGCAGTCAAAGCATTTTGCAACAATTTCACACATCAGAATGCATTCTTCAAAGTTCCTTGCTCGCAATTTTTCTTTTCGAATGTTTGGTTCCGATGCATTTCAGTGTATTGTGTAGACGAATGCACATCATAGAGCGTAGGGGTGTTCAAATTTTCGATTGACCGTAATTTTCTACTTTATCCGACCCTATTCTACCTTACTGAACGGTTAGCCACAAAAATCGGGTAAGAATGCGGAAGAGTTTTTGATCTTCCGATTAAATCGGATAGTAATACAGAATACCTATCAATTTCCGCATTCTTACTCTACCCTACCCTACCCGCAAAAAATATATTTAATTTTTTATATTTTTTTTAGTAATTATAAGAGTATTTGTGTGGTATAATTTATATTAAAACATTGTTATTGTTGTGGATGTTTGAGTTGCGAAAACATGAACTTTTTTTGTGTAGGTTACATGATTTATATTAAAATATTGTTATTGTTGTGGATGTTTGAGTTGTGAAAACATGTACTTGTTTTTTGTGTAGGTTACATGATTTATATTAAAACATTGTTATTGTTGTGGATGTTTGACTTGTGAAACATGGACTTATTTTTGTGTAGGTTACATGATTTGTGTAACATTTATGATGGATTGATGTTCATACTTTCTTATGTTTTATTGTAATTTTTGTTGTAATTGTTTTAGATTTTAGTATTATTGATTTATTGTGTTGTTAAATTAGTGCATCGTATTTAATTGAATTGTTAAAATGATCCAAAAATTAATAACTATAAAAGTGTTTACCCGATTTCTTATCCGACTTTAATCGAGTAGGAATACCATACCTGATCGGGTAGGGTATATCAAGAAAAAATTCTTTCGCAAAGTATTGGATAAGAAGACGAAAGACTATATTTCTTACTCATAAGGTATGATGAACACCCCTAATAGAGTGTATCTAGGCTAGAAGACATTGTAAAACTGGTGGAAGTCCTAAAGCACTTAGCTCATCACACTACAAGAAAAGTAGTGATAGTCGACGTTTGAGTAAAATGTCGGTGTTTGCTAATTATCGGCGTTTAATAAAACGTCATTGATTCTAGGCGTTTTTTAAACACCATTGATTCGTAATTAATTTAATTAAGCACTATTAAATATTGTTATTTACTGGTGTAATAAATTTCAATTATTACCGTCGTTCAGTATACGTCCCTTATTCTAATTTTCCTTTTATTTTTTTTAAATGTTTTGACCTTTGGCATTGATTTTGTACAGATCCATGTATGTGTTCAAGTTATTTTCTTAAAATGCAATTTGTATTGGTCAGATTTCGTACCTAGCCTTCACCATCAAAGCCCAAGCGTCCATCAAAGAGAGCTCAGCTTGAGCAATTATGCTTCTATTGTCTTCTCGTAAGGTCATCAAGTATTAGGTTTTTGTGTTCTTTTGATTGATTCTTCATGTTGTAATTCCACGAATATGTGGTAGAAGACTAAGAAGTTCAAAAGAATCTCCCAGAACTTGACCGCTCACATGTTATAGAGCTAAGGATGTTAGGCCTCTATTGAGTTGAGAATTCAAGTCTACTGTTGAAGTATTTGATAGCTCCCATGTTTTACTTTCTACATTTCTTGAAATTGTTCTATCTTTATAACGATATGCTTTTCTAATATGTGTTTCTTGCTTAGTAGAAACATAATGGGTAGATTACACCTTGATTTCTTTGCTTCTCATTTTCATCTTTTATACTTCTTGCTTCACGTTCAACCATGTGCGCATGGGTGCCTTTTCTTTTAGACTATTTGATACGATGTTGTTCACATCAAGTAGACTGGTGATTCGACTCTTCGCTAGATTATTGGCATATATGCTGTATAACTTTTTGCAACAGTTGTGGCATGCATTTTTGGGGTCCAGCATGCATTTTTTTTGTTTAGGATGGTTTAGGGGCATTGAGTCTGTTAGAGAACATAGTGCCATATTATTCTATGGTTAATTTTTTTTCTTGGTTCTGGTTTGCATATTTTGTGCTCTGGAGCTGCTGCTATGTCATTTTCCAGTGGATCATTTGCTCATTCAAAGGATTCTCCTAGGTGGCCATACCCTTTTCCGGAGCTTTCAACTCTCCTAGGTGGCCATACCCTTTTCCGGAGCTTTCAACACCGTGTGAACCTCTATGGTAATTTGCTTTTGATGTTTGCTTCGCTAATCAGCAAGAAGACTTTGAAAGGGAGATTTTGCTTCAGGATTATTTCACCAACAAAGAACTACACTTTACAGGTAGCCTTACTGCGTCTTGCAATGTTGAGTTTTGATATATGTGAATATAACACACAAACTATCTTCTCGGCAGTGATAAGAAATATAGGGTTATTTTGTTTATTAAGAGTAGAATATTCATTTACTTTCTCTACCTTGTTTAGCTTATATATAGTCTCTTTGTATTTAGGTTAAATTACTTTCTTTATTCAATTGAATTATAGAGTATCAATAAAACCCTAGTCTCCTCCCTTTTTTATCTCTTGTATTTCTTTAGATTGTTCAATATGGTATCAGAGCAAAGTTTCATGGGACAAGGCTTAATCTCAAACACAGTTTACGCGGATCCAACTCCGCGGTGAGTTGGCTGGGGGTTTACAGGGGGCCTCCCCTGTCGGGGTTTGTTCTTTTGAGAAGGTATTTGTTCCGTTTTTTTTTTTTTTTGCAATATGGTATTTGTTCCGTTTTTTGCAATCTGGTATTTGTTTCATTCTTGCAATCTGGTATTTGTTCCATTTTTGGCAATCTAGTTTTCTTTGTTTGTTGATTATGGTTACTGTAAGAGACGATTCAGTTCAGTCTGTGAGTGTGAGGTTGGATGAAAGAATTATTCGTATTAGAGTTATGTGATGAGAAAATTTTTTAAGGGTAAAAAGCTATGGGGATATGTTAATGGAACTTCTGTGAAACCTAAGAATACTGATACGGGTTATGCTGATTTGATAGACGTCTGGGAAACAGACAATGCAAAAATTATTACTTGGATCAAAAATTATGTTGAACATTCTATAGGTACGCAGTTAGCAAAGTATGAGACATCAAAGGAGGTTTGAGATCATCTGCAAAGGTTATTCACTCAATCAAATTTTGCAAAGCAGTATCAATTGGAGCATGACATATGAGCTCTTCAGTAGAAGAATATGAGTATTCAGGAGTTTTATTCCGCTATGACAAATCTTTGGGATCAATTGGCTCTTACAGAATCGGTTGAATTAAAGACATGTGGTGTCTATATTGCTCGTAGAGAGCAGCAACGGTTGGTACAATATTTAATGTCACTTCATAGTAATTTTGAAGGACTTAGATGTTCAATTTTGCATCGTTCTCCGCTTCCTTCTGTTGACTCAGTTGTCAGTGAGTTATTGGCTGAAGAGATACGTTTTAAGTCTTATTCTAACAAGGGAATTCTTTCAACTTATGATCATTCTGTGCTAGTATTACCTTCTAAACTATTCTCTCATAATCAGAATAAGCCTTACACAAGACTTGCCTTCGACGAGTGTGGTTTTTGTAAGCAGAAAGATCATTGGAAGGCTCAATGTCCTAAGTTAAGACAGCAGAATCAATCTCAAGCTTGGAAGTCTGGCAACCAGTCACAATCCAATGCTCCTAGACCACCTTAGGGTTACAAACCACAACAGTCTAATACTGTAGCAGTAGTTTCATCAGGTCCTTTCACCGATTCTAGTACCTTGGTTGAGCAATTTTAGAAGTTTCTCTCCTTATAGCCACAAGCTATGTCTGCTTCTTCTTTAGGAGGTCAGTTACCTCATAGTTCTCCAGGTATGTCACATTTTGTATGAGTCTTGGATTCTGGTGCTTCACATCATATGTCTCTAGATTCTTCATCTTTTACTTCTGTATCTTCTTCATCTTCTATTCCTGTTATGACTGCTGATGACACTCCTATGCCTTTAGCAGGTGTTGGTTCTGTTGTCACACCTCATTTGTCTCTCCCTAATATTTATCATATTCCAAAACTCACATTAAATCTTGCTTCTGTTGGTCAGTTATGTGATTCTAGAAATTTAGTCACCTTTTACTCTTCTTCTTGTTATGAGCAGGATCTGCAGTCTTAGAAGCTGATTGAGACAGGGCGTAGGAAGGGAGGACTATATATTTTGGATGAGTTAAAAGTGCCAGTTGCTACTACTGCTGCTACTAGTGTTGATTTATTTTCTTTTTGTTTGAGTCATTCTTCTTCTAGTTTTTATTTATGGCATTCTCATTTAGGTCATGTTTTATCTTCTCGTTTGAGATTTTTGGCATCCACAGGGGCTTTAGGAAATTTGCAAACTTGTGATATTTCTGATTGTAGTGGATGTAAACTGACAAAATTTTCAGCTTTACCATTTAATCGAAGTATTTCTGTTTCTTCTTCTCCATTTGATTTGATTCATTCTGATGTATGGGGACCTTCTCCTGTTGTCACAAAAAGAGAGTCTTGATATTATGTTTCTTTTATTGATGATCATACTCGTTATTGTTAGATTTATTTAATGAAACATCGTTCTGAATTCTTTGAGATATATACAGTCTTTCGAGCTCTTGTCAAAACTCAACATTCTACTGTTATCAAATGTTTTAGATGTGATTTGGGTGGAGAATACACTTCTAATAAATTTGATGAGTTGTTTGCCTTAGATGAAACTATTCACCAAACTTCGTGTACAGATGCTCCTGAGTAAAATGGTGCTGCTGAAAGAAAATATAGGCACATTGTTGAAACTGCTCGTTCTCTCTTGTTGTCTTCTTCTGTTCCTAGTGAGTTTTGGGGTGAAGCTGTTCTTACTTCTGTACGTTTGATTAATACAATTCCATCTTCTCATATTTTAGGTGCTTCTCCTTTCGAAAAATTGTATGGGTATGCCCCTAATTATTTTTCATTTAGAGTTTTTTGTTGTACTTGTTTCGTTCTTCGTCCTCATGTTAAACGCAACAAGCTGTCCTCTTGATATGTTATTTGTGTCTTTCTTGGTTATGGTGAAGATAAAAAGGGGTATCGTTGTTTTGATCCAATAACTCAAAAATTTTATGTGTCTCGTCATGTTGTTTTTCTTGAGCATATACCTTTCTTTTCTATTACATCCACTACTTATAGCTTGACTAGATCTAATCTTATTCGTATAGATCCTTTTTCTGAGGATTCTAATAGTTTGTCATCTCAGGTTTCTAGTACTTCAAATACCAGTACTGATAATTCTATAGGTACTGACATTTTTCTCTCTAGCACACCTGAAGCTACCTCCTCTCCTATGGTCCCTCAAGCTCCGTCTAAGATTGTGGACCCACCTCTACGTCAATCCACACTCATTCGTAAGTCCACAAAGTTACCAGATTTTACTTATTCTTGTTATTCTTCATCTTTTACTTCCTTTTTAGCTTATATTCATCGTCTCTCTGAGCCCTCTTCCTATAAAGAGGTAATTCTTGACCCTTTTTGGCAGCAAGCTATGGATGAGGAACTTTCTTCTTTGCATAAGACAGGTACTTGGGATTTGGTTTCTCTACCTCCTGGTAAGAGTGTTGTTGATTGTCGTTGGGTGTATAAGATTAAGACCAATTCTGACGGATCTGTTGAGCGATACTAAACTAGGTTGGTTGCAAAAGGGTACTCTTAACAGTATGGTATGGATTATGAGGAGACATTTGCTCCTGTTGCAAAAATGACTACTATTCGTACTCTTATTACAGTTGCTTGGATTTGTTAGTGACATATCTCTCAACTTGATGTTAAAAATGTCTTCTTGAATGGGGATCTTCAAGAAGAAGTTTATATGGCTCCCTCTCCTGGTGTTTCACATGATTCTGAGTATGTTTGCAAGCTCAAGAAAGCGTTATATGGTCTGAAACAAGTACCTTGTGCTTGGTTTGAGAAATTTTCTGTTGTGATGACATAATTATTACTGGTGATGATATTAATGGTATTTCAGTTTTGAAGACAGAGTTAGCTAGACAGTTTGAAATGAAGGATTTGGGTTTTCTACGATATTTCTTGGGTATTGAGGTAGCTTGCTCACCCAGAGGTTATCTTCTTTCTCAGTTGAAATATGTTGCAGATATTCTTGAGTGAGCTAGACTTACTGATAATAAGACTGTAGATACTCCCATTAAAGTTAACGCAAAGTATTCTTCTTCTGATGGTTTACCTTTGTCAGATCCTACTTTATACCGTACTATTGTTGGGAGCTTGGTATATCTCACTATTACTCGTGCAGATATTGCATATGTTGTTCATGTTGTTAGTCAGTTTGTTGCTTCTCCTACTACAGTTCATTGGGCAGCGGTTCTTCGTATTTTGAGGTATATTCGGGGTACAGTCTTTCAGAGTCTTTTACTTCCATCCACCTCTTCCTTGGAGCTGTGTGCATATTCTGATTCTGACTATGACAGTGATCCCACAGATCACAAATCTGTTACTGGTTTCTGTATCTTTTTGGGTGATTCTCTTATTTCTTGGAAGAGCAAGAAACAATCTATTGTTTCTTAATCTTCAACCGAAGCAGAATATCGTGCTATGACATTTACTACCAAAGAGATTGTTTGGTTATGTTGGTTACTTGCAGATATGAGAGTTTCTCTTTTTCATCCCACTCCTATGTATTGTAACAACCAGAGTTCTATTCAGATTGCTCACAACTTGTTTTTCATGAACGAACTAAGCACATTAAGATCGATTGTCACCTTACTCGTCATCATCTCAAGCATGACACCATTACTTTGCCCTTTATTTCTTCTTCTTTGCAGATTGCAGATTTCTTTACCAAGTTGCATTCTATTTTCCGTTTTCGTTTTCTAGTTGACAAACTCTCGATGCTTGTCGCTGCTGCATCGTGAGTTTGAGGAGAGATGTTAAGAAATATAGGGTTATTTTGTTTATTAATGGTAGAATAGTTATTTACTTTCTCTGCCTTATTTAACTTATATGTACTCTCTTTGTATTTAGGTTAAATTACTTTTTTTATTCAATTGAATTATAGAGTATCAATAAAACTCTAACCTCCTCTCTTTCTTATCTCTTGTATTTCTTTGGATTGTTCAACAGGTTGGTTATGCTGAGTAATGCACTGGATAACTTCTAATTGCTGTTGATTTTTCCTGGAATTGATGTTTGATATTTTGTTGTAAGTTCAGGCAGAGAGTTATATAGATCAAATGAATTGGATTGATAAGATAACGTGGATTATTGCTTCATTACTGTGTTCTCAGGCCCCTGAGAGGGTAATCCATAGGAATTCATT